TCCCCGGCGGCCAGAAGGACAGGGGGCTCCTGGCCGACCCCCGCAGGGCTCTTGCCTCTGGCCCTCCACTGGGACTATCAACAACCATCCATACTCATGTTCCGGATTCCCAATTTCAACCAGAACTGGAAGCAGACATACCACCCACAGCAGGGGATTGCCGTCATGCAATAGACGACCATCGGAATCCATGAGAAATTGTGGCTTAGTGACATTAAGACCAGCCACCTCCTTTGGGATACGTTGCTAATATGCCCCACCAAAACCCTTCAAGGTTGACCCAAAGTGAATAATGAATAAGCAAGAAAAGGGGGAAGAAAAGCAGAATCTGCATTGTCCAGTAAAATTGCTTTTATTTCTGTAATTTCATAAGTATAAAACAAATCAGCTCAATATTGTGCGAACAGAGTGGATCATACAAATGTGACTACAATGACCCTTCTTAAGTCTTCACGATACATCTGGCTATTTACATCAGACAAAATACACCACTTAGGAATCAGTAATTTAGTGGAAAAATAGCTCTCATAATAAAATAGGAAACCTTGTTTGTTTCAATTCTACCCCCAAAGAACGCTTTTTTAAAAAGATGTAACAATTTACCTTTCACTACTAAGTGCAAACTCAACAAGGTTTCTAGATTCGGCTGTTCAGGCATCATAGCAAAATTGCTATGTTCAGAGATTCAAGCCATGACACTAATGACACCTGTAAACAAGTCAGTGTTTTTCTCTCTTCGTGGTCCTGAGGACACTGACAAAAACACAGCACAGAGTCCACATAGCATGGGCAAGAGTCCATTATAAGACACCCCTAAGGTAGGGCACACGTATCTTTCTAGGCTCTTGTATATACAGAGCACAGAGATTGATTCTAGACTGATGTAGTTGCCCAGTTTTTACATTACCAAAAGCTGAATGGCACCAAAAGGAGAGGATGCAAGAGACACTTGTATCTCCCCTAAATCTGTCTTCTCGCTCATTTTCTACCTGCGTACCCTAACCCATGCTCATCCCAATCCGTACCCAGCACGAACCATTGTTAGAAACCTCATGGGGTCTAGAGGCCTGGATTTTGGCAGCATAAAACCACCCTTCATTGAAATGGTTAGCAGACCACTGCTCTTCTCTTGCTAAGATGAATGGACAAGCTGACTTGCAATTCAAGGTAGCACTGGAGGGTTGGTAGGATAATCAAAAGCTGGTGGAAGAAAGTGGCAGTGAAAGTCTGAGCTTCCCAAAGGTAAATTACTGAATACTTTCTGGAGGGTCCAATGCTGCAGGCCCTTTGTATGCATTGTAAGGCTGTTCAATCAATGCTCCTTGCTTGGCATCTTTTCTTTAATCAGGACCATGGCCAGCAACCAAGACCACACAGTTGGGAGGTAACAGTGGTCACCAACCAGTAGATTGGGATCTACTGGTAGATCTTGGAACCTTTGACAGGTGTTCTTGGCAGGACTGGCCGGGAGGCTATTCAGTGCCGACACCTCATCTGCCCCTCTCAGCATTGCTGCTCCTGCTCTCTACGTTGGAGGTGTCCCCTGCTTGGTGTGCAGGGCACGGGAAGAAAAGGAGGGGGTGCTAATGTCAGGGTGCCCCACCCCCACGCTGTATCCCATCTCCACAGAGCAGATGCGGGCAGGGATGGAGAGAGTTTGCTGGCTGCTTTTGGGAGTGGTGCAGGGCCAGGGTAAGAGTGAGCCTGCCTTAGCCCCCTGCACCACCACCCAGAAGCCACCTGTGGTAAGCAGTGCCCAGCTGGAGACAGCATTCCAAACCCCAGCCCCAGTCCTGAACCCCTCCTGTACCCCAAATCACTGCCCTAGTCCTGAGTCCCCCTGCACCCAATCTCCCTCCCAGAGCCTGTACCCTGAATCCCCTCCTGCACCTCAACTCCCTGCCCCAGGTCAACGCTCAGAGCTTCTGGTTGTGTCTGACGTAGGAGTGACGCCTTGGGGAGGAGGAGAAGCCCTGTCCGTGCTCCTGAGCACTGTTCAAGTGTGTTATGGAGCAGTATCCATACTCGCTCGTGCTTCGCTGGGACAGTGCACGGGACAGGCAGCGCCCTGGGATCTGCATGTGCCCGGGTCAGTCCCGCTCCCCGCTGGCCGATTCCTCCATCCCTGCTTCTCCCCCTCCCCCCTCCTCCAGGCCAGCCCCTCTCCCTCCTCCCCAATCAAGTGTGTCCGGTATTTTTTCTGAAGCTACCTGGTAACCCTACCTGCCAAGGCAGACCACTTTCCTGCCCCTGGCCTAGCTCAACTCCTGCAGCAGAACTCCCAGCTGCTGGCTCACCTGCAGCCAGAATGACAGGGGGCTCCTGGCCGACCCCCGCAGGGCTCTTGCCTCTGGCCCTCCACTGGGACTATCAACAACCATCCATACTCATGTTCCGGATTCCCAATTTCAACCAGAACTGGAAGCAGACATACCACCCACAGCAGGGGATTGCCGTCATGCAATAGACGACCATCGGAATCCATGAGAAATTGTGGCTTAGTGACATTAAGACCAGCCACCTCCTTTGGGATACGTTGCTAATATGCCCCACCAAAACCCTTCAAGGTTGACCCAAAGTGAATAATGAATAAGCAAGAAAAGGGGGAAGAAAAGCAGAATCTGCATTGTCCAGTAAAATTGCTTTTATTTCTGTAATTTCATAAGTATAAAACAAATCAGCTCAATATTGTGCGAACAGAGTGGATCATACAAATGTGACTACAATGACCCTTCTTAAGTCTTCACGATACATCTGGCTATTTACATCAGACAAAATACACCACTTAGGAATCAGTAATTTAGTGGAAAAATAGCTCTCATAATAAAATAGGAAACCTTGTTTGTTTCAATTCTACCCCCAAAGAACGCTTTTTTAAAAAGATGTAACAATTTACCTTTCACTACTAAGTGCAAACTCAACAAGGTTTCTAGATTCGGCTGTTCAGGCATCATAGCAAAATTGCTATGTTCAGAGATTCAAGCCATGACACTAATGACACCTGTAAACAAGTCAGTGTTTTTCTCTCTTCGTGGTCCTGAGGACACTGACAAAAACACAGCACAGAGTCCACATAGCATGGGCAAGAGTCCATTATAAGACACCCCTAAGGTAGGGCACACGTATCTTTCTAGGCTCTTGTATATACAGAGCACAGAGATTGATTCTAGACTGATGTAGTTGCCCAGTTTTTACATTACCAAAAGCTGAATGGCACCAAAAGGAGAGGATGCAAGAGACACTTGTATCTCCCCTAAATCTGTCTTCTCGCTCATTTTCTACCTGCGTACCCTAACCCATGCTCATCCCAATCCGTACCCAGCACGAACCATTGTTAGAAACCTCATGGGGTCTAGAGGCCTGGATTTTGGCAGCATAAAACCACCCTTCATTGAAATGGTTAGCAGACCACTGCTCTTCTCTTGCTAAGATGAATGGACAAGCTGACTTGCAATTCAAGGTAGCACTGGAGGGTTGGTAGGATAATCAAAAGCTGGTGGAAGAAAGTGGCAGTGAAAGTCTGAGCTTCCCAAAGGTAAATTACTGAATACTTTCTGGAGGGTCCAATGCTGCAGGCCCTTTGTATGCATTGTAAGGCTGTTCAATCAATGCTCCTTGCTTGGCATCTTTTCTTTAATCAGGACCATGGCCAGCAACCAAGACCACACAGTTGGGAGGTAACAGTGGTCACCAACCAGTAGATTGGGATCTACTGGTAGATCTTGGAACCTTTGACAGGTGTTCTTGGCAGGACTGGCCGGGAGGCTATTCAGTGCCGACACCTCATCTGCCCCTCTCAGCATTGCTGCTCCTGCTCTCTACGTTGGAGGTGTCCCCTGCTTGGTGTGCAGGGCACGGGAAGAAAAGGAGGGGGTGCTAATGTCAGGGTGCCCCTCCCCCACGCTGTATCCCATCTCCACAGAGCAGACGCGGGCAGGGATGGAGAGAGTTTGCTGGCTGCTTTTGGGAGTGGTGCAGGGCCAGGGTAAGAGTGAGCCTGCCTTAGTCCCCTGCATCACCACCCAGAAGCCACCTGTGGTAAACGGTGCCCAGCTGGAGACACCATTCCGAACCCCGGCCCCAACCCTGAATCCCTCCTGTACTCCAAAACACTGCCCTAGCCCTGAGTCCCCCTGCACCCAATCTCCCTCCCAAAGCCAGCACCCTGAATCTCCTGCACCTCAACTCCCTGCCCCAGGCTCAGCTCAGAACCCCTCCCGCACTCCAAATCTTTTAGCCCAAGATCAGTGTCTGCATCCCCTTCCCCCGCACCCGAAACCTCTGCCCCCAGCCTGATAGAAATCAGTGAGGGGGGAGGGAGTGAGCAGGGATGGGGTCTCGGAGAAAGGGCGGGAAGGAGGCAGAGCAAGGTTGTTTGGGTTTGAAGCAGATCCTGGATTGCATTTAAATTTAAAAAGTGACCTCACACTTAAAAAGGTTGCAGACCACTGCCTTAAAAAATCTTTCCCACTGGACTTTTGTTTGGTGGCTTTTACCTGCTCTGCGCCTACAGTGTTGCAAAATGTGAAGAATTAATAGCGGGGCAGGACAATGTGAGTTTTCTGCAACACTAAACTCTTGCACCCATTGATTTTTCAGTCAGGAATTTCAGGCAGTTATTTTATGTAAGACGGTGGCTGTTCCAAAATACAAATGGTGGCAGGACTAGGGCTTTAAGCTCTAAGCAGCGTAAGTGTCATGTTGCTCTGGGTTTTCCCAGCCCACCCATCCACTGCACTGTGCATCTACATAGGATGGGGCTTCCAAACAGCTCCATTTAGCAACCCTTTCCCCCAGCCTCTCTTTTGTTGCATGAATTAAGGGACCCTGAAAAGCCAAACCTCCAGTTTCTCGCTATTGGTACCACCCAGGTCTTGGATTGGCCACGTGTTAGAAACATGTAAATAAGAGAATGTTGGCATGGCCCGGTCAGATCCTTATGAGAGGCACCAGGCCAGGCCAACAACGCGTGGAATCAGAAGAACGAACTTTGGCCAATAGAGGAATGAAGGAAGAAAAATAAATTTCGGCTGTGATACTAGTAATCCCCTGCCTAGCAACAGCAGTCTTTCACATCCATAAAACATTCTTCCCAGATGTTCCATGGGAGAGTTGTTTGTAGGAGAGAGTCTTTATCCAGTCATTATCCACAAGGAAGGGAGGTCCTCAGACAGCATAATGTCAATTTCATAGCCAATGCCTGGTGCTCATACCTGGTATTCTCCTAATGGAGGAGAACCCCTTTGACTCCCACCTTTATTTTACAGGTCTGATCTAACATGGTGAATGGCCCCCTGAGAAATTAATGTAAAGTGCTCATGGACAATCACAGGCTATTTTTCTGGTGCACAGGCGGTTATGAATGATTTGCTCCTTTTGTTTAGGAGGACCTACTGAAATGGCCCAGGCTGGCTATTGGTGTTGTTGGAAAGAGTCTAGTTTATTATAAAGAATATGAATACACCAAAAGGCAAAGGGTGCGATTCCTACATTGTGGTGGCCATCAGAAGTGAGACTAGATTGCATGTAGCAAAAGGAGGCCGGGGGGGAAAGCTATCAGGAAAAAAAGCCACTCCAGTGCACATGTCCAGTCTATTGCACACAATCAATTGTTTGAGTAAGAAGCAGTTCAGACCTAATCCAAAACATGTTGAAATCAATGGGATTAGGTCTTTAATCACTTTCAGGTTTGCAAAAGTCTACAGCATCATGTTAAAGCAGCCAGCACACTGCTAGTGACATATAAATAATAAACAACTTCTATGCGATTTATCCTGGCCCTTCACCAAAGCATAAAGGAAAAATAAATTTGATCTAAGGATACTTCTCTACTTCATTAAAATATTTGAACTACAACCCTCGGCAACCCCAAAATGTCTATTGGGAAACCAGTCTTAAGCAGTCAGTCAAATGACAACAACAAAACGTGGTTTTTCAATTGGGGATCATACTCGAAAATAGGGCTACTTCAAAATAGGTCATTCTTAACGGAGTGAATGACCATTGGAGATGTCCTTGGTGAACATTCCACTGATCTGGCCCAGAAGCTTACAGTGAAAAAGGCAAACAGAATTTTAAGACAAAACCCGCTGCTACTAGGAAGAGGAAGGCTTTGGCGTAGAACAGCTATGAGCTATTGCACTCTATTTGCTGATTTTCCTGTAAGTTCATGGCTTCAATCCCACATTGACAGGCACGGTGAACCATCCTAGTGCATTTTAGTTCTGTGGAGCGTAAATTAGAACCACTCCAATTTCAACTCATATTGCTCCTGCCTCTTCCTTGCAATGTGCAATCACAATGACTTTTAATATAACTATCCCCACCTTGCTGGCATCAGAGGCGGCAAACCAAAACGACCAAAGGAATTTAATAGAAGACTTAAAAAGTTACTGACATCAGATCTTTCCCCTGCCCCACACGTTTTGGCAATATTTTCAACCATCTTTGTTAAGAGTTTAAAATAAAAAAATATCAAAAGCTTTAGAGAACACACACATTTGGGTACCAAAAAACTCCCCCCAAAAAACCACGTCACATCCTCAGCTGGTGTAAATCAATATAGTTCCGATAGAGCAACACAAATACATAGGAGCTGCAGATCTCCCCATGGCCAAGACTTTCCATAATCCAATATGGATCTCTGATGGATCCGAACACATTACCAGCAGGGGCAAATTACAGACCAGGTAGTCTGCAGCTTTTGGTTGGACTATGCTCCATGGACACCCCCACCCCATGCCCAAGAGGGTGGGCAGAATGTTGAGGATCAATCTCAACCCTGGAATAAGCAAAAACAATTCTCCTAAAGTCAATGGAGTTGCTCTGGATACAGGAAGGCTTAACTGAAGAGCATAAGAGGTCTATGAGTCATCTACTGGCCTTCTGCTCATGGGTAAGTTCCCCTTATTGGAAATGGTCTGTAAAAAGGAATTAGCCGGTATAATCACCAATTAAATCCGCTCAATACACTGAAACATACAAAACATGTTGGAAAAAGAAAAATTCTCAAAGAAAGCAAATAGTGATTTTTCAGTGAACGATTTTCCTGTAATCACACAGTTTCTATAAAGATTTTTTTTTAAAAGCTCCATATTAAAATCCTTTGAGTACATTCTATATTAAATACAATAACAACATTTCATGCAAGGTTTCCTGTACAATTAAATCAGCTCAGTAGTAGAACAAGTCTGTACATTCCCATTGGTCTTGGGGCACGACCCATCTATTTTCATGCTGGTGATGGAGAGAAAAGAAAGCGTGGGTTTTGGCACATACTCTACCTACAGCAGCCAGCTTGTCGAAGTTCAGCCAGCTAGCCAGAAAAAGAGACAAAGTACTGAGGGTTTTAAGAGACTTAAAAAATAAAGTGAACCAGTCCATATAGGAATGGAGCAACATAAGAGAAAAGCAAAGCAGGATCTGATTCTGGGGCTCCAGGTTACACCGGGGTGAAGTTGAGAAGGAAAGAAAGGTGTAGGCATCTTTTCCCCTTTATTCTACCACATCTACTGCCCATTCCTGGTCAAATGTTCTATGAGTTTCAAAAATAAGATTATATGGATGGTAGAATAAAAGTCAATTTTGAGAGACCACCTCTATTCCCATGTGATCACCGCTGCCTTTTCCAACATCATATGGGAGCATAGATTGTTTCCCAAAATGGACACTAACGAAAGTCATTTATTCTGCCCTCTACGTGATCATATTTTTAAAACTATCAGTGGTTCTCAAACATTTGTATGGGTGACCCTTTTCGCACAGAAAAACACTTTCTATGATATTTAGCACTATTATAAATACTGGAGACAAAGTGGAGTTTGGTGGAGACCGACAGCTTGTGACCTCCCGGTTTAAGAAGAGGAATGGGCAAAATATGGCCCATGGACAGGATCCAGCCTGCACGTTTCCCAGCCGGGAGCCTCAGACAGGGAGCAGCCAGACACTCCAGGCATCTGGCTGCTCCCTGTGGCTCTCTGCTCCAGGTGCTAGGTGATGGGGGAGGCTTTCCGTGCTGCCCTGCCCCCCCCCCCAGCAAAATCTCTCAGCTCGGAAACTGGCTAATGGGAGCTTGGAAAACAGCAAATGCGAGCTGAGAGATTTTGCTGGGGGGGTGGAGACAGCACACAAAGCTTCCCCCTCCCTCCAGCACCCAGAGCGGATAGCCCCAGAGAGCAGTCAGCCATTTTGAGTAGCCTGCAGCTATGGCAGGGAAGGAGCCTTCTGGGTCAGAGCCTGCCTCTGGCACCCCAGCCCCTCCCTCCCCCTAACTTCCTGCTCCAGGTAACCACCCTGCCCAGGGTCATCATCCCAAACCCTCTACACCTGTGTTCCCCTCCTCCAGGTCACAACTCCCTTCCAAACCCTACACCCTCCCCCTCTCCTACACCTATTCTCCTTTCCCAACCTTTCACCCCATTCCCCTGCCCCAGGTCACAGCGCCCCCTTCACCAAACTCCATCTCAGACCCCACAATCTCTCCTGCACCCCGTCCCCTACTCCAAGCTCCCTTCTGCACCTAATCTCCATCTCAGACCTCGCAACCCCTCCATAGAAAAGTGCAGCCCCTGACCACTTACCATAATCTTGGAGTAGCCCCCCATCAAAAATTATCACCCACCCCTGATCTGAGCCTCACACCCCCCAGTTTGAGAATTCCTGAACTGGATCATCTGGAGAGTCAGAAAGTTTAACCAGGGATGGGTGACTAGATGCAGTGGGATACAGGGTTTTCCAGTTCCATGTTTTGTTTTAAGCTCCTTAGCCCAGGAAGGGTGATAACAAGGTGTTACACAGGAGAGAAAGGCGAAAAGGACCGGGCCATGCTTTGGTGTCAGATGAGCCTGAGACAGTGGAAGATTTTCACAAGAGGCAGTAGAACAGAGAAAAATATGATAAATAGAGGAAGTTTCAACTTCTGCCACAAAAATCTTTGCAAGTAAATACATGTCCACAAGATCTACTACACTGGTAATTCGACCAGGATATAGATACACTGAAACCACCGAAGCTAGACATCTAGGCAATGCAGCTACCAGAGCACTAACATTGCCACGCAGGGATTATGCTTAGGTGGATATCTCTCTACTAAATTGGAAGTCAATTGGAATAAACCTGTTGCATCCCATGCACCTTTCTTTGCTTACCTCCTCTACCCACAGACACAGATAAGCTTTTCCTTGGTACTGAGATGCCGTCTGTTGTGCTACATCACACCATCTTATCCAGCTCTGGGAAGCACCTCTGTTGTCGCTGCTCCTGCACAGATACTGTGCACCACTGTGAAAGCGCCACCTCCCACCTCCCACATTTGTACAAAACAAAAAATGCCTGACTGAGCTCAAACACAGGCTGGTTTTTTTTAAAAGGGTCTCAAACTTTTCAGGAGCGGACCCCCAAAGAGCTGTGTTACAATGACTCAGTTACATATAATTCCATCCCCAAACTATAATTTAGCTGTCCAGTAACTGCACCATTATGTACAGGAAAAAAAAAAAGCTACGAAACAAAACCAAAAATCAATATTTTTCTTTGACGATTCACCCGCATTAGTCTGATAGTCGGACACATGCATGTCCTGCTGGCTTCTAGTGATGGTCTAACATGCAAGACATCAGTCCGAGTTACAGCTCAGGGTTTCTCTATTTAGAAAGTGAGTTTCCTGAATGTTATTCATTTCTTGTCCTCTTCTCCTGCAAAAGAAAGGAAATCAGCTATGGTTAAAAGCAAACCACCCACCCATCGTCAGCTATTGAGACAGACATTTCATTGAGGCACATAGCTGACTATGACCTGATGGTTTGTGAAAAGGGCAATCTGTAGGGAGTGTCCATGCACACCTATCCAGTCATAGTGAGTACGGAGTAGCAGAATCAGCTGATTTTGCTCTTAATGCGTGGCTTCACTTTTGAAATGGCAATTTCTCAATACATCCCACAGGAATACACAAAGCCCAGTATAGTCAACACGGAACAGCACGGCCAAGTAGGCATTCTACGGCATTGCTCAAAAGAGGATCCCCAAGCACTTTATCAACATTAAAGGTGTTAACCTTATAACATCACTGCCAGATAGCTACTAACTTTATTCTACCAATGGAGAAACTGAGGCACAGAGCTTAAGTGACTTGACCACAGTCTCTCAGTAAGTCATGGCCAAGAAAAAATTAGGACCTAAGTATCCTGACTGAGTTCTGTGCTTGAGCTTTTTCTCCAATTTCTTCACCCTCTTGATGGCAGAACTAAATACTTGCTGGGATACATTAGGTGATTTACTTGGTACTTGGTGATTAGAGTATTTACATACAGTGCCTTAGAGTGTCAAATTATTTTAAAATGGGAATGTGTATCCAAAGCCACATTGGAAAAAAACCTCGTCTTAAATTTGTGGGTCCAGGTTCTACCAAACAGACTCATACTGAGTCCTCAAGCCGTCGTTGTGACTTCACTGGAAATATTGCTATAAGCAAGATCCTATAAAACACAAGGGAGGGCAGAATCTAGCCTGCAGGTAATAAAAACGTGCACTGAAAATTGTTACAAATTCTTAACGGTATTCCAGTTTCTTTATTCATTAAGCGGTACTGCCACCTCTCTCACGGTTTTCATGTTCCTGAGTTGCACTTGATGGACCCCATTTGATAACCATGTAGGCTGCAATGATAAGAGACCCAGTCCTGGAAATCCAGGTTACTCTAAGGAAACTTCTTTTTTTGGAAAGATAACTTTTATTTTGCAAACTGTTTATTTGCAATGCTTCCTGATGGGAAAGCCGTTTCTTTGAGGCCCATGTTAAACTGAATTGTTAGGACAGCAGCTTCTCATGAAAATAGTTACTCGTGATATTTAAGACTTGTTTTAACTTGTTCACTTCTCTTTGCATTAGCTGGATTTTTCAGAACCTATGGGAAGGAGGCACCCAAATGCAAAGGGATGCAACTGGATTTGGGCCCCTAACGCCTTTGAAATTTCCAGTCATAATTTTTGGAATGCCTAAATTACACCATCATTTGCCATTATTTCCAGTTCCCATGGAAAAATTAAGTGCAGAACAGCATCCATATGAGGAGAGATGAACAAGACTGGGACTTTTCAGCTTGGAAAAGAAATGACTAAAGGATGGGGGGACGGAGGGATATGTTAGAAATCTAGAAAAATCACAAATGATGTGGAAAAGCAGAATAAAGAAATGTTATTTACTCCTTCACTAACACAACACAAGAGGAGCTGGTTTTTAAACTGGCTCCCCTTGCCGACTAGCTCCCGCCTGGCACTCTGCTGGCCCCCAAGGGGCTATAAAATAGTCAAGTAACTGATAAGAATCCATGAGGTTCCTCGACTGTTCAATTAACTGATATTTCACATCCCTAGCCCATAGGGACACGTAGGCAGTGGCATGGAGCTAGCCCTGCTGCACTGCTGGTGGTGGCAGTGAGAACCCCCAGCTAATTTTAAATCGCCAGGGGTTGCAGGAAGAGGCAGGCGCTGCATGAAGACCTCTGGCTCCCTGGATCCCTGCCAGATGGGGGTGCCTGAAGACTGGCCCTGAGGTAAATGGAGTTTGAGATCCCTGCCCTAGAGGAATTAGGGTGTTTGGACACAGCACTCTGCCCCCAACCTGTATGGCTGCACACAAAACGCAATACAGTCTGCGCCTCTGGGGATAAATGCCAAACACAGCTGGGACCCACATGGGCAACGATAGCCGCGAGAGCCTGAAAAGGGACAGCAACTGGCATAACTGCTCGCGCCTTGAGATGCTCCCTCGGGGACAGCTGAGGCACACTGCTGAAGAAGTCTGCGCTGCTCCTGGTCTGTGGCTAAATACAGGCCCTCGGGTTTTTAAGGTGCTCAGTCTACTGCAGCCCCTTTCTCGAGCACCGATTCCCTGAACTGGAACTGCCCCAGACCTGTGTATTTTATTATATGAAGCAGGGGCAGTCAATAGGCAGACTGCGGCCAAATCTGGACTGCCTGATGCGATTCAACAGACCCCTGTTCTGTGAATACAATTGACTACCCCTAAAACATTCTTCTCCGCCTGCATTCCCCAAAGCATGCAAAGAGAGCCTGCAAAAAGCCAAAAGAACATTAAGATCCCATCTAGGGAAGCTGACATCTCCCCAAGGCAGCAGCGGTACTCTCTCTGGTGACCTCTCTAAGCTCAAACAACCTTGCCTTTTCATATCGGGAAACATTCTTTTCCTTTCCACATGATAGTCTGGCTAAAGTAACAAAAGAGAGAAATTAACATACAAGGACATGAGCTAGACTAGGAAACATAACCCCATCTTCCCTACCGTTCTCAGACTCCATTAGAGACAATAATTGTTTAGTCCACATTGTTAATGCATTGCTATGGAGATTCTCATGTGCTTCTGAATTCCTTTTATGGTCAGTTATTGTCTCAATGTGCAGATATTCTTGGGGGGGGGGGGAAGGGGCGGAGATTTTTCCTAGACATTGTGTCTTATTTACAATCAGTAGAATTTATATCCCCACCGCTTAGCAAAACCTTCTCTTTATATTGGGGTTAAGGGCCCACAGCCCCACTTTAGATCTCCCACAGATTAATTTAATTGACAAAGTTGTTCATGATTTACAGCAGCATAAGCAAGATCTGAATCAGGCCCTACATAGGTCCATGATCTCCACACCCATTAGTCATTGTCTTAGAACAGTCAGAGGGTTTAAGTGTGGACACACAGTAGAATTGATCTCATATGCAGATAACGGGCCAATGACTGAGCTGCTAATATAAATATGCAACCTTTAGTTAAAATCAGCTATTGCAGCGGAGGCCTGGAGAACAGCAAGAGTACCTACTTTGACAGGCCCTGACCAGCTGGCTGCCGCACTCCAATGGAAGGCAGATATGCTGGGCTCTTGCTAAAAGTTTCCTTCTCTCTGAGCAGCCAGGGCTGAGCCTCGTTCAGCACAACTGGAGCCAATTAAGAACTTGCCAGAAGCAGCAGGCTATTCAGAGCACCTACAGACCATCAAGGCCTGCTGGGGCTTGTTTAAAAGGCCTCCCTGCAGGGAGAGCAGGAGCCGCAGGTCTGAGAGTGAAGAGACGCACTGAGTGAGAGCAGAGGACTGAGCAAGGCAGCGTGCCATGGAGGAGCAAGATGGACATACTCAGGTATCAGAGGAAAGGTAGGGGAGGGACTGTTTGGGGAAGTGGCACAGGGAAGAAGCTGCCAGACTGGGAGTAGAGGAAACCCTGTCTATTGCTGCTGCCTTAGGTTGCCTGGGCCAGAACCCAGAATAGTGGGTGGACTCAGGTTCCCCCCAACCCTCCCCATGCCACTACAGATCCTCCCCCTGAGAGAGGAGAGCAGGACTATGAAGAGGTTTCACTCCATACTGTGAACTAGCCTATGATGAGGATGGCTCAGGAGGCCATCAGCCCCTGCCTCTAGTAAAGGGAATGAGGCTGTGTGGAGGGTCACAACAAGCCTCTGAGACAAACACTGTCAGCCAGAGCTTTGCCACCCTACGCAAAGGCGCTAGAGCTGTTCATGGGAACTGCACCCCAGTTAGGGCTTCCACTTCACTGCCTAGTGAAAATGGTTGAAATGATAGTGAAAGAGAATTATGAAAAAAAAACCTAAACAAAGGTGATACGATACGGACAAACTAGCCCAGTTCCTGTAAAGGGAAATCCTGCCTCTGCAATCTACCAGAACTATCTGAACGTGTCAACAGATTAAGAGATAACGGAGAACAGATGGACAACGTATCTGATATTTCCCATACAAGGTTACCACAGAAACTGTGTTGTCCTGGGGAATAAAATTCAGTTCTGGGTTCTAAGGCGACCCAAAGACAGAACAGGGAGGGGAATCGGACATTTTTCAACACCAGCGCGGTGCCCCAAAGCTCCATTCTAAGAGCAGTGGCCAATGTACTGGCTAATGAGCTGGAAACAGCATCGAATGCAACAAGTGACAACATTCCAGGGATGTGAAATCCCATGTACTTAGTTCTAACCAATTGAACAGTACGTTTAACTAGTTAACCGATTCAAGGGGGTACGAGTGGGGGCCGACTCCAGCCCTATTGGGCTGGCACAGTCCTCCCCCTCCCCTGCCTTCCAAGGCCAGGCTGGAGCCACAGGCAGGGGATGCTCCAGCTCCACCAGAGCTGTCCCCACCTGCAGGGTGCCTGAGCTCTCTTCTCTGGATGACTGGAGAAGCCCCTGTCCATGGTGGGCCCCCTGCGGGGTTGGAGCAGCCCCCTGCCCATGGTAGGTGGGGAGCTGCTTCAGCCCCCACCAATTAATGGTTAATATGAGCTGCTACCCCCATTAAAGGTGATGCTTACTGGTGAACTAGTTAACCCTTCACATCCCTACAACATTTCAGATAAGAAAATGTTTCTGAAAAGACAGTCACGAGAGCGGTGCATGAAAACTGAGCTTGAGGGGATGGGACGAGGAGACATCCTGCAATGGCGTGTAGCCAATCTGTGTCTGCTAGTGGCAAATATCTCCCGCACCTGGCACTGGAACACTAGATGGGGAAGGCTCTGAGTTACTAGAAACTTCCTTCCCAGGTGTCTGCCTGCTCTTGTCCACACGCTCAGGGTTCACCTGATGGCCCTATTTGGGCCACCTTAGATTGACAGAGACCCTGAGTGTTCTTTGCCTTCCTCTGCAGTGGGCACGGATGACTTGCAGGTCCAAACAACTGTACGTGATGCATCCTCTGTAAGTTGAAATCTTTAAATCATTATTTGAGGATGTAAGTAACTTAGCCAGAGGTGAGGGGTCCCTCCCAAGAGTGAGAGGGTGAGGCTCTGTGCCCTACAAAATATACAGGAGGTTATACCACATCAGTGGCTCTCCGCCTTTCCAGACTGCTGTACCCCTTCCAGGAGCCTGATTTGCCTACTCCACGTTTCACGTCCCACGAAAACGATGTGCTTACAAAACTAGGCATAAAATACAAATGTGTCAAATCACAGATAGGGATGTAAAATTTCGATTAATTGGCTAAATGAATAGTTGATGCAATTAGTCGATAAGGGTGCCTCCGTCTTTGAAGCATAGCAACAGCTGCAGAGCTGTTGCTATGCTTTGAAGGCGAAAGTGCTGTGGCGAAAGTGATGGGGCCAGCAGGGGTCTCAAGCAGTTCCCCACTGGCCCTGTGCTCCCTGTGGCATTTCAAAGCAGAGGCACCACAGAGAGCCCAGGGCTGCATGTGGCATTTCAAAGTGGCAGCACCACATGGAGCCCAGGATCTGGTCCAGGCTCCATAGGGTGCTGCCACTTGGAAGCGCCCCACCAATTCTACCCCCACCCCGACTGCCTCTTTACAATGGAGGGGAGCTACCAGTCGACTAGCATGTCGACTAGTCAATAAGCATTTGCTCATTGGATAGTCGACTAGTCGTTCCCATCCCTATGCACAATATTTCTGAAACATTGTGGACTCTCTCATTTTACCATATAATCAATCTCTATGGAATGAAAATACTATATTTATATTTGAGCACATAGTATATAAGGATGAAATTTTAGTGTGTACTGACTTTAATAGTGCTTTTTATGTAGCCAGTTGTAAAACTAGGCAAATATCTGGATGAGCTGACGCACTGTCTGGAAGACAGCTGTGTGCCCCCAGGGGTATGCACAACCCGTAGTTGACAACCACTGGGCTAATTGAACATGATCATCTAGCCTTCACGTCTTTTAGTCTCTAAACTATGCAATGAAACAGCTGGGTGAAAGGGCAAGATGAGGGCAGATGGAATTTAGAGATGAGAAATGAAAGGTAAAGAGCATTGGAAAGATTCATTTCAATTACTCATCCAAGTTTAAATGAACTGAAATTACTCGGGGGAAAAAAGATGTGGTCATTGATTTGTGCAACCGAGTGGAAGCCGCTGTGCAGTACAAATCAACAATGTACTTTTATTTGTCCTCTCAAGCCAAGTTTTGGTCACTTCGCCTTAAAATAAAAGTCAGAACAGAAATATAGAAGGGGCCCACAGATGTGTGATGAACAATTACTCCAAGCATGAAAAAACCTGCCATGTGAAGAGAGACTGAAAAGATCAGGAATTCTTAGTTGAGACGGGAGGTGAGCAAAGGGAGATATGATAGAGGGATCTAAAATAATGAGGGTTACAGAGATGACAGGGGAAATTGCCCTGTCCATGCTTTCTCCTAGTATAAGAATGACACATTCAGTCAAACAGAAAGGAAACAAATGTAAAACTGATCAAAGAAAGCACTTCTCCCCCCTCCCCCACACAAAGCATGTATCAGTGGAACTCATTGCCACACGATACGATTAGTCCATGAATTTAATAAGATTCTAAACAAGGTCTGGACATTTATGTGGGTAATGAGAGGAGCTGTACTTACATTATATAGTGTGAAAAATATGAGTGAGATTTTCAAAAGTTCTTAACTCCCACTGATCACCTATGGGAAGTAGGGGCTCAGCTCTTTCAAGTGCCTTTGAAAATTACACGGTAGGGGAGAGAAAAAACCTTTATGCTCAAAACAATACATCACCCATGATCTCACTGAGGCTTAAAAGTAGCTCCCCTTATAGGCAAATGATTCCATAAGGATCCACTCCTTCTGAAGTATCTGGTGCTGACCACTACCAGAAAAGGTACTGGTCCAGACGGCTCACTGCACGGTTCTGGTCCATCAGTTCCTACATTCTCAGAAGTGACTCCTTAGCTATGAAGCACGAGGTCGAGCCTTTGGGGTGACTCTCTCAGCCTCCAGAGGTTGCACCAATGTGTTTGTTCCAACTTGGTGCCTGCACTTCTGCGGCTAATGATTTTTTTTTTAAGCAGAGAAAGCCACTCAAGAGACTCAGGGACACTTGGAAAAGGGAAAATATGGCCCAATGAGCGTTCTTAGAAGTAATGGTCTTACGCAGCTCAGTCCAGTAAGGATTCCTCCTGCAGCTCCCTATGGCTGGAAGAGTTTCCTCCTTTCAGGATGCTAAACCTCCTTTAGCCGGCCTCCCCTGGCAAGCCAGAACTCTGCTCTGTCAGCACCCACAACGGGGGCCATTGGGACTAGAGAGCTTAGCTCTCCTGGCTCCAGCATAAGGAGAAGATTACAAACAGCACTCAGCTCCCGCGCCGCCTAACGTGACCCTGGTTGCGGAGTGGAGCCTTCCTGAGAACGCCGACCTTGAGGCCAGATCACGAGCTGATATAAACTGAGGTCAGTGGAGCGAGGCCGCTGCTTGACACCAGACCCGTCCGCAGTGGTGTGATAAATACATTTGAAAACTTGCCGGACCAGAAACATCCCTGGTCCTGATATTGCCGGGCCAGAAAGCCCTGGCAGCTGAAGTCAGGAGAGGAGCCAGGAGGCATATGGGCTGGTAGCCTGACCGGGGCTGGGAGTTCAGCCGGGGGTCTGGTGGCCAGGAGCACAGCTGGGCTGGGGGTTCAGCCAGGCTGTGAGCACAGCTGAGCTGGTGGGCCAGTGGCAGGAGGGCCAATGGCTGGGAGCAGAGCCTGGTGGCCAAGGCTGACAGCGGGGTCAGCAGCTGGGAGGGGAAACCTGGGGTTCGTGGCTAGCAGAGGAGCCCAGCCAGGAGACTAGTGTCCCCCCAGGAGAGCCTGGAGGCCAGCTGCAAGGAGCCAGAATTGACCTTTTCTGGGTCCAACAAATTCCCTCATTCAGGATCGGTCAACCTCAGGTCCCAGGGTGCAGGACCAGGGAGGTCTAACTGTATTTTAGTTGTGAGAATCTCTGATCATGCCCCCTGCTTCACAACTCACACGCATGTTTTTCTAATCTAGAGCACAGCGTCGTTCTGCGATTCACCACAGAACTGCAAATAGTGTTTGATCCTCTTCTCCTACAGACTAAACAATTGCTGGACATTTTCCAGAGTGGGGCCTGTGCCGTTCAGAGGGTCCACCTAGAGGCTGTACAACCAGGTCACCACAGCACACAGAAGAGTCTGGCACAGGAACATGATGGACAGGGACAACACACAACAGAGCCAACCCTGTTTGATCTGGACTCCTGCAGGTTTTCAGCTGGTGTTCCCCGCTCCACGTGTGTCTGACTGTCCTGAGAATTCCTGGTGAAAAATGACAAGGCTAGATTTAAGGATTGGGTTTTAAAACAGATTCAGAGGAATTAGGAGGTGTAAATGCAGGAGTGTGGTTGTTTTAAAGCATGACAATTGAAGCAGAGGCTGGTATGATTTTGTTCTCTTGCTGTGATTAAATAGTGGCAAGAAATCATGACGCAGTGTTCAGACAAAGGCCATTCACAGAAATCAGCATTAGCAACGATGCGGCTCCGCGGCACACGGTGCGGACAAAGGGATGGGCTGGAAGCATGGCAGGGGGGACCAGCAGCTGCCCCAGTCACTTCTGGAAATTGTTGCCTGTAGTGCAGTAGCAGCCAGTGCCCACCTGGGGAGATGAGGGTAACAGAAAGAGCCTCTGGCAGAGCCTGGGCAATGAACCAAGTCCCCCAAGCCTGGGGTGCCATCAGCCTCCACAGGCCCCTGGGCAAGGTGTGTGTGGGGGGTGGCTCTGCTCTCCGAGACGAGGCACAGCCTTGGGGGGAAGGGGCGGAGCCAAGGGCAGCCAGCCCTCAGAGCTGCCCAGAGCATGCGGTGCGGCACTCCAGGGGTGATTTAAAGGGCCTGGGGGTTCAACTGCTACCGCAGTTGGGACTCCAGCAACCAGGAGCCTCAGGCCCCTTTGAATTGCCAGGCCGTAGGGCAACCGCTCATGCAGTGGGTGGTGGAGAGCACCCAACCTTCATCTTCCCGTTTGCCAGTGCACTTGCACAGGGCTGGTGTCACTGGTCCCTGGCTGTACAAGTGTCCGAGAGCCAGTGGTTTGTCAGCAAGTCACCCCTGTTGAAAACGATACTGGCTCTTACCAAAAAATCTGCTGATCTTTATTTCTGGTGCGTGGGTTACCTGACTAGCTCTGAATCACTCCGTTGCAAGCAGCTGCAACGGCATGACCCGACAGATCTGACAGTCACCAAGTAAAACACAAGCCCAGGGGAACGTGTAGCCGTTAAAAGCCACACACACAGGCACTCTGAGATGACCTGTATGTACTTTCGGTTCTTGGCAATCGTAAAGGGTGGTTCTGTCCTAAAAAGGACTCTAAAAAATAGCACAATGGGGTTCCCCATTGGATATTTCCATATTAAAATGTGCAGAGTTTGTAAGTCAGAAGATTGTTGATGAAACAAAACTCAGTTCAGCGTGAGTTTGCAGGCTGAAGAAAGACCAGCTGGGGTCTGTGTGTCTTGTGGATCGTCCCCAAAAATAAGAGTTCCGGAGGGCCTCAGAGACATCTGGGCAGCCACACTGATCAGGTGTCAGTGTATAAAAGCCATACAAACCAGATGGTAGCAAAGGCTTTCCAAAAAGTAGCTTTCCATAAGCACCATCTCAGAAGGCACATTCTTGTCTTTGCCAAGTGACCAAGTTGTCCTCTAATTATTATAATCCCAAGGAAACCAACTGGGCAGAAGAGCCCTATCTTCAGGGGTGAAATGGAGGAAGTACAAAGAAAGGCACCCTGGACATGTGCTGCTCACAATGGAATGATAGTTAATATGGTCAAAGAATCTACCCAGGAAGAAGAAAGAACAAGTCAAGTGCCACTCACCCATGATAAGAAAAGCAACGTTCAGGCCGGCCAACAATGAAGAGGAGAAGCAAAAGTAACCTGGGATTGGCCGCCGAGGCTCCCTCCTTTTGGAGGTGACAGCCAGAACCCATCAGGCCTCCTTCCTGTCCAGGAAATTCTGAAGAAGAAGAATCAACGGGACAGGATCCCATCTTGATGTCTCTGTTCCTCCTGCCAACATTGCTGTGTTGGGTAAACTTACTTTAAAAAGCAGGCGCCATTTGTCTACACCAGTCCCAGCCATTTTAAATGTCAGAGCCCAGATTCTGATTTAGTGCCAGCATCTGGAGAATATGAATTAACTAATTAAGGAACAAACCCCACAGATCTGCTCAGGGTGAGGGCAGGAAAGTAGCAGGGCAGAGTTTTGAAGGCTACTGCCTGAAATATTCCACGAGTACAGTGTTGGTCAAGAAAAGAAAAGAAAGATCTAAGTTAGGATGTTGAGAATCTTCATTGTGCTATTTCAGTACAAGAAGAAGACTATAGTAGCATATGAAATAGCATTCCTAGAGCTCTAAGTGTGAGCTGCAATTTAGAGCACAGGCCACAAACCTGCTACTACCAAAGACATTGGGACTCCTTCAGTTGAGGTAACTGGCGCAGGATGAGATCTATGCAACATTTCCTGTTTACAACACGAGGGCCATGTTCTGGGAGGTGATGAGCATGCAACTCCCACCAAAGTAAGAGTTTCAGAGGCTCAGCACCTCTTGGATATACAGCAGAAAATGCAAACAGGACTGTACCACTTTTGGGGGAGACAGACCAAAAGAAAAGTTTTTAAAGAGGGCTGATCCAATTCCCACTGAAGTCAATGGATACATTCAACGGGAGTTGGATCAAGCCTTAAACAGGAGACAGGGCTGCAGTTTGGATAGACAATGGAGAGGCTGTTCCAATTTATTGTGGTCCAGTTCATAACTCACTACCAACAGTGGCTCCCAACTGGGGGTCCGCGAGGGTATTGCAGGGGGTCCGTGGGAAAATAAAATAAAAATGATCATAGAAAATAAGTTTTACATAAATTGCAAAGTTACAATCCATTTTTTTAAATTAAATATCTTCCAATAATGTTATTAATTGCGATCCAAAAATCTATGTCATGGGGCCTTTGTGTGACGAACTGATCGTGGTGGTTAGAAGCATACAAACGTTAGCCATACATCAACACGGATCTGGGGCTGAAATCAGGCTTGCTGAAGAGAAAGGAGACTGATGAGCAGAGTGAAGCATCCTCAAGTGGAATGTCTAATCGAACAGACATAAGTAAACAAAAATTGAGAAAATACTCCACTGACTACTAGAATTATGGTTAGAATTGGCTTTGATGGGGGTCCACAAACAGTTTGGGGGGGGGGGGGATTAAGGGTCCGCACTAGAGAAAAGGTTGGGAACCACTGCACTACAAGATTTTGGTGTCAATCACTGTAACTGGTTAATAAAAAAAAATAGGTAAGTCCAGATCCTTTGCAATATGCCACGCTGGAGGGAAAGTCTGACTGCATATGCATGGGCCAATCAGCTTCAGCAGAGATGCGAAATGACATGTGCCTGAAAGCACAAAGCAGCACAAAGCAAGCGCCATGGTCGAGACTCGGTCAGCAGTTACTCTGCAGAGGATGCTCACCCTCTAGGTGGTTCCGGGAAAGGTACTTGAGTCCTTCATCGAGTAGGATAACAGGCAGGGAAATTTTCATTACAACCACCCACTGCGGCCCGCTCAGGGGGGTCACCTGGAAGATCAGCTGCAAGGCAGGAAAAATGTATTAACAGAGAAGGGGGGCTAGAGAGAGAAGCAAACAATGAGACCCATTTTGGTTCCTATGGATGTGCAAGGGACCAGGCCTTCCGGAGAATAGCACATGTGCAAAGAGAAGGGCCTCATTACGGCTTGTACTCGGCAAGGGACAGTATCTATCATTACAGTCACTTGGCAGATGGACAAAGGGAGGAAGGAACTTCGGAAGGTCACCCAGCAATTCCCCCGCACACCTGAGACTTCCAGCTCCCAGGCCCTTTTCCTTCTGAATCTCAAGGCTCAATCCTGGAAGCCCTTTTGGGCCGGGAAGTCAGCAAACACTCGGGAAGGGAAACATCCAAAGGGGCTAGCTTGTCCCACGCCCAGCCCTGCGCGCGGCACCACTTACAGGCATGGGCTTCACATAGAGAATCACAAAGTGCAGGGTCATGGACATGACAATGGCCCCCAGCAGCCAGAGGTTGAGCCACGGCGGCATCCTCAGCAGAGACTGGTTTTCCGACACACTGCGAGAGCGGGAGGGTGGGTGTTAGATCGCACGACCGATGAAATACCCCTTGGCCTTACCAGCCCCCCTGCCAGTAGAAATGTGCTTTGCATAAAAGCCTCCTCCAAGGAAAAGGATTATCTAGCCCCGGGGTGGGCAAAAGGGCCTCTGCGGGCCCAATCCAGTCCACCAAGCGGGTCGATCCGGCCCATGGAGGCCCTGCCACACCCCCGCCCCCAGGCCAATTAGGGTCTGGGGAGTGCGTGAAGCTTCCTCCTGCCCTGCCAGGAGCATGCAGCGCTTTGAAGTGCCATGTGCTGCTCGCGGGGCGGGAGGAGACATCATGCGCTCCCCCGCCCCCACGCCCTGATTGGCCTGGGGGTGGGGGAGCTGCACGAAGTTTCCTCCGCCCTCCCCCCACCCTGTGAGGAACATGTGGCACTTCAAAGTGCCACATGCCTGCGCAGGGCAGGGCGAAGGAAGCATGCAAAGCCTCTTCCCATCCTGCCAGGGGCATGGGTGCCTAGTGGGAAGGGGGAGCACCCCTACCCCCAGACCAATCATGATCTGAAGCCCAGAAGCATCCTGGCCCCGCCCCTTCCGGGGCAGCCTGGGGCCACTTCAAAAATTGTTGAAGTGGCCCCTGGCCAAAAATTATTGCCCACCCCGATCTAGCCATTACCATGAACCATTCTCCTTCCACGTTTTCTAGGCTCTGGAGAGAAGTATGTTGAAGTGAATTTCGTGCAAGACGTCACTACCCAGACGGAGAGACGAGGGTAGCAGCAATTACTGGACTTTATAGCAAGACAGAGGAGACCCCGGAGCTCCTCCTTTGGGAGTCTGGGCTGTCGACGTACAGCACCGAAACAGTACTCAGCAGTACAGTCAATACCAGAACCTCCAGCAAGAAGCCCGGACCCCAACCGTGGGGCAGAGTGAAAATGGCAAAGGGAATAATTTGCTGGTTCTGGCTTCTAGATTTACCAAAAGAGCAAGTGAGATTCCAGCATTGCCTAGGGCTGGCCCACAACATTTTGGCATCTGAGGTGGGGAGCTCAAATGATGCCTCCATGCCCCCTCGCTTGGGCCAAAACTTTGAAAGGTCTCAATTCTCTGGGTCCTACTGGCGCCCCTCCACAGTCTGGCACCTGAGGCAGCTGCCTCAGTTCTCCTCATGGCAAGGCCAGCCCTGGCATTGCCACATATAAGCCTGACTCTTAATCCTAAGCGGTTCAAACCCAAACTCAATCTGGATCAGTGTTCCCTGCAAGCTGAGCACTTGGACAGCCACCCAGGAGAGATTCAGGTGCTGCCCGGCTGATCAGTAGAGCACCAAGTAAAGCATCAGTAGAGCCCACAGCCTTTCTATTGGTGGTGCACATCAGCATATACCTTGGTGCACATAACAAAATTTATTTCGCCCCGGATGGAAAAAATTTGCGAGAACACTGATCTGGAAGCCAGACAAAACATCCTCCTCTAGGAGGTCTCCCATTGCCATTGCTAATGGGAGGGACACGTTTGCTTGGTTCTACTGTTAATCAGGGCAGAATGTTTGACCTGATACAGCCATACGTACTGTACCTGTTGAGAGCATTGCACATCTCAATTGTCACCAGCACCGAAAGAGCCATCGTGGTTGGGTAACGGGACTCAAAGATTTCGCAGTCAATGCCTTCAAAGATGGGGTTGTCCTCTGTGCATTTCATGAAGTTCCTCTGGCAGAAGAAACAGTAATAGGCATGAAGCAGGCAAAAGTGGCAAGACAGAGGAGACCCCGGAGCTCCTCCTTTGGGAGTCTGGGCTGTCGACGTACAGCACCGAAACAGTACTCAGCAGTACAGTCAATACCAGAACCTCCAGCAAGAAGCCCGGACCCCAACCGTGGGGCAGAGTGAAAATGGCAAAGGGAATAATTTGCTGGTTCTGGCTTCTAGATTTACCAAAAGAGCAAGTGAGATTCCAGCATTGCCTAGGGCTGGCCCACAACATTTTGGCATCTGAGGTGGGGAGCTCAAATGATGCCTCCATGCCCCCTCGCTTGGGCCAAAACTTTGAAAGGTCTCAATTCTCTGGGTCCTACTGGCGCCCCTCCACAGTCTGGCACCTGAGGCAGCTGCCTCAGTTCTCCTCATGGCAAGGCCAGCCCTGGCATTGCCACATATAAGCCTGACTCTTAATCCTAAGCGGTTCAAACCCAAACTCAATCTGGATCAGTGTTCCCTGCAAGCTGAGCACTTGGACAGCCACCCAGGAGAGATTCAGGTGCTGCCCGGCTGATCAGTAGAGCACCAAGTAAAGCATCAGTAGAGCCCACAGCCTTTCTATTGGTGGTGCACATCAGCATATACCTTGGTGCACATAACAAAATTTATTTCGCCCCGGATGGAAAAAATTTGCGAGAACACTGATCTGGAAGCCAGACAAAACATCCTCCTCTAGGAGGTCTCCCATTGCCATTGCTAATGGGAGGGACACGTTTGCTTGGTTCTACTGTTAATCAGGGCAGAATGTTTGACCTGATACAGCCATACGTACTGTACCTGTTGAGAGCATTGCACATCTCAATTGTCACCAGCACCGAAAGAGCCATCGTGGTTGGGTAACGGGACTCAAAGATTTCGCAGTCAATGCCTTCAAAGATGGGGTTGTCCTCTGTGCATTTCATGAAGTTCCTCTGGCAGAAGAAACAGTAATAGGCATGAAGCAGGCAAAAGTGGCAAGACAGCGGAGACCCCGGAGCTCCTCCTTTGGGAGTCTGGGCTGTCGACGTACAGCACCGAAACAGTACTGAGCAGTACAGTCAATACCAACACTGCAATCAGCTCTTTTATTAAACATTTCTTGGCTCAGGGGGACTGGTAAGAGGGCATGAAGCCATTTACTTCCAGGTTTGAATCCAGACCATCTACGAGGTCAATTGTGATCATATGACAGCTCCTTAGTAGCCTATGTGAAAGTTTAGTACCAAGGGAACATGTGCCCCCCATTCCAAAAAACAACCAGTCTCTGCAACTGGCATTAATCATACGTGAAGTCAAGAAATGTGGCTTCTCTTCTTCTCTCAGCACTATCCCTTCGCAAAGCTTCCCCTTTCCCACCCACTCTTCGCATGTCTTATCTATACAGAATGGAAGATCTCTGAGACAAGGACTGGCTGTTTCAGTTTGTACAGCACCAAGCACAACGGACCCCAACCTTGGTTGGAGCTTCTAAGAGTTAATTCAACACAAATAGCAGTCAATCAGTCTTCAGCACAGTCAGTCTGGCATGAGATGCACGAAAACATACAGAGTACTGAGAGATTTGCTTATTTAAGGGATCTAAAACTGATGCCTTGAAGCAGCGAGGATGAAGTTTCCCCTTCTCCAAATACCTTCGCCCTACCTGATCTGAGTGGCAGCGATCAGACACAATAACTACAATTCCTGTGGCGCTCCGGACAAATGCCTCTCTGATTCCTCACTAGCATGTGTGGGGTGCATGCTTATGGGCCGTCCTGCCTGGGGATACTACACGGATGCTGCTTCAGGGGAAGTCACCACCGTGCTGACCAGCTAAAGGGAGTGGGATGTCACTCAGGCGGGAGCCTCTGCAGCTGTTTCAGCTGACACATTTTCCTTTAGGGTACGTCTACACAGCAGGGAAAATGTTGACTTAAGCTATGCAACTGCGTCAACTGTGTAGCTGAAGTCAAAATAGCTTAACTCAGCTTTTGGTGCTGACTCCACAGCAGGAAGTCTGAGTTAGAGCCTTCTTCCTTTGACTTCCCTTGCTCTTCGTGAAATGAGGGTTACTGGAATTGGAGTAAGAAGTCCCTCAGCTTGCCATTATATTGAAATAACGGCTTGCTGCGTAGGCGCGCTCTTCATTATTCCAGAATAACATTGGTTATTCCGAAATAACGCTGTTGTGTAGATGTATCCGTAGTGACTCGGGAACCTTTCAAAATGTTTTTAAAGAGAGAGATGCGCAGGAAAAAAAAAACCTCCGGGGACCGTGCTGGGGAGCAGAGACATTAGAGTTTGCACTGGTGTTGAGTGAGAGAGTCTTCCCTTCTCCCTCCGACACAACTTACCAACTGGTAGAAAGTAACTTGCGGCCCTTCAGCATCATACAAGAACCACCAGGTAGCTGCTCCCACTGTTGCCAAGCCAACGTACACTGCAACCAAAGAGAGAGCAGATTGTGTGGCCCTGTAAGGACCGGACTCATGCTTGTTTCTTGCTCGCGGTGTTACTGGTTTGCCCAGGGACCACCAGCCCTGTTCTGCTGCCTGGGGCTGGATGCAGGGCTGTGGCTCTTGCTGCTCCTGCAGCTAGAGGAAGAGCAGCGAATTGGGAAAAGTGACCTGAATGGTTTTGACCCTCTGAACCCAGATGGTGCACCCTGAGATCTGCCTCATAGTCCAGCCCCGATTGTTAAGCAGCTGGAGCACGAATTCTGAAAACCCTTCCACCCTCCTCCTCTCCCCACACCTTGCACGGCCACAGCTTCACCTCCTAACCTGTTCTACTCCCCTGATCTTGGATCTCAGACATGCACCTTTCCTGCCAGTCCACCATTCCCATTTGTTTCCCGAGGCCCAACTTTCACTACAAAAATCCATCCAGACCAAGGAAATGGGCACCCTCTTGCCCATCCCATTCTGCACTCTTGCCTGCGGTCTGATCCCAGCTCTGCCGTGGGCTCTCGGTCCTGCCTGCCCTCTCCATGCACAACGCCTTCTCATGCTGCTACCTTGCCTGGAAAGAACTGGAGGTAATGGGCGGGTGGGGCTTGAGGTAGCAAAAACTAGGAGCCTGGCCAGAAGAAAAAGATGGTCCCTAGCAGAGAGAGTCAACTGCAAGGATCCCATGCTAGCCCTGTCACCCGGGCCAGAAAGTCGCCCTGTGCCCACTACCTACCACATCTGCAGGACTACCGAAGATAAAACGGTACCTCTGTCAGCTATTGCCTGATGTTGAGAAAGGGTGGAGCTGATTAAACCCTTCCAATGCACTGGGACAGAGAGGAGGTGGAGTCTTGAGTAGCTGCCTACATTTGGTTGTATCCAAGTCCTACTGTGTTATGAGGAATAGCTATTCCTCTGGCACCACTACACCTCTCTGCGCTGTAAGTCCCCCTCATTCCCGGGTACCGCAATGCACCCAGACCTCACTACACACAGTTGTTGGCAGCTGTTTTAAGCCAAGGTGATACATGGCACTTGGTCCATTCCTGGCGCTACATCTCTAGCCAGGGCCTCTCACCTCCAATAGCAAGGTAGCGGAAGAAAAGCCAGCCGCTGATGAGGGGTTCTCTTGCGTTGCGGGGAAGCTTGTCCATGATGTCTAGGTCAGGGGGGTTGAATCCAAGAGCGGTGGCGGGTAGCCCGTCTGTCACGAGGTTCACCCACAGCAGCTGGACTGGGATTAGCGCTTCAGGCAAGCCCAGGATTGCCGTTAAGAAAATACTTCCGGTGAAAAAAAGAGACACAACCTTGTTAGGTGAGAGACACTCCTGGGAGACAAAGCATTGCACTTGTACAACTAGAGAGGAGTATGATCCCAAATCCTGGGTCCCAATGCCCCCTAAACACGGATGCAGTTCCAAATCCACACCTAAATTTGGAGCTTGCAGGACTCAAAAACCTCCCAGCATCAGGGAATCTGAAACTCAGATCTGAACTTTGCAGTTTGATCGTGGGGGCCCTGACCGCGAGTTTGCATAAGGAGCCCATTGCATGACATCGCCATTGTTCGGGATGCTGGCTGTCACCAGCACGGACGTCCCTGCTGAATTTCTGACACAGGTTTCAGAGATAATTCTGCAAGCCATCAGTGCCTGGCCAGGATTGCTGCAGAACTCCCCGATTTGTTCTAAAAGCCTCTTTCAGGAGATTGATGTCAGGAAATTTCCACTACATGCATCTGGCGAAGTGGGTCTTTGCCCACGAAAGCTTATGCTCCAATACATCTGTTAGTCTATAAGGTGCTACAGGACTCCTTGCCGCTTTTTCAGGAGATTGTTCACCATGAAAGAAGCTGTGAATATTGTAAGGAAGTCGCCCTGGCCAGCGCACACACCCTAGTGGAGCCTATTAACACCACACTGGGATTTCAAAATGTCGCACTTACAGCAAGCTACATAACTTGTCACAGTAAGGAGCAGCAGATTTGCCACCCCACAGCACTTGATCCTACTGCAGTGACTCACGGTGCTTCCTCTATCGTGCTCAGCATTGAAAATGCTACAAAAGACAGCCAGAGGGTCCCAGTCCGCCGCAAGGTAAAGGCTGGTTCTGCAGTAGCAGCCGCTGAATTTATAGAAATACCAAAGAGAGTATCCCCGCCACTTTGAACTGCAGGGAAGAGGTCAGGACCCAGCGCGTCGCTGGGACATCCTCAGCTGAGGTAAATCAACCTGGCATCACTGCCCCTCTCTTTTTACACCAACTGGGAGAGGGCTCTGATTATATCTCTAAGTATCAGAAACCCTTCTGTCCTGGCAATCTTTTTCCCTCCTGCATACTATGCTAGTGGGAGGCGTGACCCCGAAGCCCTTACCAGACGACCTCTCCAACATTAGACGAGATGAGGTAGCGGATGAACTGCTTCATGTTATTGTAGATGGCTCTGCCCTCCTCCACGGCAGAGACGATGGTGGAGAAGTTGTCGTCAGACAGCACCATCTCAGCAGCTGATTTTGCCACGGCTGTGCCAGAGCCCATGGCAATGCCAATCTCCGCCTTTTTCAGGGCTGGGGCATCATTCACTCCATCCCCTGTCTGGATAAAGCACGAGCGTTTTACTGAAGGATGCTTCATAGAAGGAAACAGTCTCAGCATGAAACCGAGGCTAGAGCATGTAAAAAATCAGCAGCACAGGCAGCAGCAAATCGTGGCATGGGCTAGCTGGGCCAGCCAGATACCCACAGGGCTCAGGCGAGTGTGTATATTGTGTGGCCACTCTGTGCACCACACACCCATGCTCCCATGGCCACACTACTGATTTCAGCATGCTAGCATGATGAAAGCTACAGTGGGCGTACCTGCAGGAGCGGGGAATATCACACCCCACTCAGAAGGTGGACAGCCTGAGAATCAAGGCTGAGTCGCATTTATTCAGAAGTGTTTGTTGGCAGGACTTCTCCCGATCACTTAGTTCTTTAAACACCACCACTTGGCACTGCCATGGTGCATTTTCAAGTGCTCTGCTCACGTTCAGCTGCACAAGAGCTCTACGCAGCTATTGCTACGCCCCACTGGTGGGGAAAACTTAAGTGTCTTCCGCAAGGCGACAGAGTCAGCAGAAGAGCTGGGAATGGAATCCGGAAGGTGTGACTCTCAGACCCTTGCTCCAAACCAACACTAGAGCCCTGCAGATCGGTGCATAGGCACAGATATCCGCGGGCCATCTTTGTGAATCATACGAGGCGCAAAATTGTGTCTCCACGCAGGGCAACCAACATTCCCGCCCTTCAGCTCAGACTGTGACCTCTCAGTACAGACTCCCACCCCCAGCTCTCGACTGTAGAGATGACACTTACAAAATGATTAATCTGAGTAAACCCACGTGCGGGGCCCGGTGTGTGACTCACCATAGCTGTAATCTCATGGAAAGACTGGAGATATTCGATTATCTTGGACTTGTGAGCAGGTTCGACGCGGGCGAAGCAACGGGCCGAGCGGCAGGCATCCCGCTGAGTCTCTGGGGGGAGATCATCAAACTCCCTGCCGGTGTAGGCCTTGTCTGTCACATCCTCCTTCTCCGAGAAGATCCCAATCCTCCGGCAGATGGCCACTGCTGTGCCTTTGTTGTCTCCGGTGATCATGATGACCCGGATGCCGGCTTTCTTGCACATCTCAATGGATGACACCACTTCCTTCCGGGGAGGGTCCAGCATCCCCACACAGCCCACGAAGGTGAGGTTAGTCTGAGGGCAGAAGAGGAAACATGTTAACGCTCATGATGCCCCTCCCTTTGAGGGTCCCAGCCATGTTGTTCTTCCTGTCTTTAATTTACCTCACAAAGATGCTGGCATAGTTTCCTCTCTAAGGGCCGGAATTTGTTCCCACCAGAGCCAATGGCAAAACTCCTATTAATTCTAATGGGAGCCCAACCAAGGCCAAAAGAGTATCACTATCTATTTAAAATAATTCAGCTGTAATCCTGTTTTGTTCTTCTGCAGGGAGCTGCCAGTTGAGACACAGCAGCTGGTTGCTATGTACTGCATTCTGGTCAGGTTCTTATGCCATGCCCAGAACCTTGGTATCTGCATGCTGCCTGGGAGCACATAAAGACCCAGGGTCAGCAAAGCGCACAAGCACATGCTCAGCAGGTTGCATGCTGCAAGGAAACAGAGAAGGGCTTCTTCACACACTGCCGCCAAGCAGCGGCACTCATTCCCAAGGATGCTGCGGAGGCCAAACATGTAACTGGGTTCAAAAAAGAATTAGTTGAGCTTATGAAGGACAGGTCCCTTAGTGACGATCAGCCAAGATGGTCAAAGATGCATCCCCAGGCTCTGCATGTCCCTAAATCTCTGACCACCAGAAGTTAACTTCCTAACTGTCAGGGTGGTTAAACACTCAAATAAATTGCCTAGGGAGGTTGTGGAATCTCCATCTCCGGAGATATTTAAGAGCAGGGTGGACAGATGTCTATCAGGGATGGTCCAGACCAGGGCTACTCAATACGCAGCCCATGGGCCGCAGACAGCCTGCAGCATGTTTGTTTGTGGCCCACGGTGTGGTTTGGGTTTACGCGGGTTCCCTTTTTATCCTTCCTCACCTCATAGTTAATGAACTTGGTTGAGTCATCCAGCTGCATCTCCTCTTTCTTGGAGGGGTTGTCCCGGGTGGCCAGAGCGAGGCAGCGCAGGGTGTCGATGCCAGTCCCCCATTCCCGAATCTTGGACAGGATCTTCTCCTTAGTGGAGAGCGTGAGGGGGACCCGGGTGGTGCCGATGCGCACGTAGTTGCAGCGTTCGATCACACTTTCAGGGGCGCCCTGTGGAAACAAAAAGTGCAAAAGTCATTCTCAGCCACCGGCGCCACTTCGCTTCCGCGCAAAGCACAACGGAGCGAAAACTTCCCTGTCAACCACAGCCAACTTCAAACCCCCGGGGCATTCAGAGCACGCTGCAGTCACTGAGGACCACACATCCTGGAGCGCAGGACCCCTCAGGAAAGGAGACAATGGATTCAAAAGACAAACCCACGAAACACGGCGCCATCCTGAAACTGAGGTGGTGTATGGCCTGTAGCTCACATCAGCGTGATGCCATTCAGGGATGTGAATAAGACACTCAAGTTACACTGATCTGCAGGGCTCGCTGAGCCGCGGCGAGCCCCACTCACCAGCCGCACTGTCCGGCATTTTGTGCATGCGCAGATCACCCGAACCCGGCTCTTCTGGGACGTAATCTACTCGCCATGGGCAAGTAGATTACATAGATTGTCGAGCCCTGCTGGAGTGGGCAGTGCTATGTTGGCAGGAAAGCATCTCCTGCCCAGAGCTGCCCCTCCTCTCACGGGAGCTGGAGTAATTAAGTAAACGGGCGAGCGAGCTCCTGTCAGCGCATCAGCACTAGCAGCCACGGTAGCCATAGCCTGATGAGTTTAATGATCGGGTTTATCCTGGTAGGAGGCAGATAGGGTTGCCAGATGGTTTAACAAAAAATACCGAACACCCGCATTCCCCCCAAAAAAAACACGGGGAAAAAATTCTGTTGAGGAAAAAAAAAGGGGAGGGGGCGAAACCAAAGTTGTTGAGCAAACACAAACACACAGCGTGCAGTGTGGCCCCTTTAAGAAATGCTTTGCTTTTGAGGCTGCCTGCCATCTTGCCTCCCTGCGCCAGGCTGGACAGCTCCGCTGCGGAACCCAGTAAGCACCCGGGTTTTTCGCCTCCTAGCTGGGAAAAAAAATCAGAAAATACCAGACATTTTAGGTATCTGGTATTTTCTGATTTTTTTTTTAACTGGACAGGAAGTGAAAATACTGGACACCTGGCAACCCTAGTAGCTCAATATCCTTCGCTTCCTGTAGGTGGCGCTGCTCTGTCAACATTTAGAGATGGCGATGCCCACAGAGAGCTCCAGGTCTCCAGCACCAAACCTTGTATGCCTGGAAAGGGGCAAGATGCACCCAGTTTAAGGTATTTTCTGATTTTTTTTTTAACTGGACAGGAAGTGAAAATACTGGACACCTGGCAACCCTAGTAGCTCAATATCCTTCGCTTCCTGTAGGTGGCGCTGCTCTGTCAACATTTAGAGATGGCGATGCCCACAGAGAGCTCCAGGTCTCCAGCACCAAACCTTGTATGCCTGGAAAGGGGCAAGATGCACCCAGTTTAAGGCACAACCAGGCCTCCTGTATGGGGGGGGGCAGTTACCCCGGGGCCTGGCAATTCTAAAGGGCCCAGGGCTCTGGCTGTCACTACTGTAGCCACAGCAGCAAATGGAGCCTTAGGCCCTTTGAATCGCCTTCAGAGTGCCACACAACGCACTCGGCGCGGCTCTACAGGCTGGAGGCCTGCCCTGGCCCCGCCCCTTCTGGCTGCCCTGGCCCCCCCCCTTCCGGGGTCCCCGGGCCCCGCCCCTTCCGGCTGCCCTGGCCCCGCCCCTTCAGAGAGCATAGAGCTGGGCTCCCCCATCACTTGGTCTACGGACCCAGCGTGGCTGCTGGCTCCCCTGGTCACAAGCAAGACGACTCCAGACTGAGGAAGGAATCAGTCTAGTCTTTCAGAGCCCAGGCCTGTGGCAGCGACTCTCAGAACCTGGGCAACAGACTTGGGCTCCAGGGCTACCTTGCTAAGAACAGCCCCAGGACGGGATGGGCCTCGGTGCCTGCGCCACAACATCGACATGGCTGTTTTGACTGCGGCAGCTCAAATCCTACATGCCCGAGTAAGAGAATCAGAGACTCATAGAACCATAGAGCTGGAAGAGGCCTCAGAAGGTCAAGTCCATCCCCCTGCTCTAGGCAGGACCAATCCCAACTAAATCAACCCTGCCAGGGCCTTGTCCAGCCGAGACTTAA